CTACAATCTCAATGACTGAGCCCTGAAAGCTCACCGGCACGAGTACTGGTGATTTCCGCCAGGGATCAATCACCATCTCTTTAGTCTTATTGGTGTTCAGGACCAGTCGATTTTTCTCACACCACTTCACAAAGTCAGTAACAACCTCCCTGTATTCCTGCACTTTGCGACAGCGGGGAGGAAAAACTCCCTTTAACGGATGAAACCTCCAACAAATCCCGGCTCTTGGTGGGCGGCCTTCTGCCTCGACCGGTTGGGGTGAGTGGATAGAGGAGAGAGAAGTCCGACGTGTAGAGGATGAACAGAAAGGGGGAAAGAACATGACCCTCACAATACTTCCGGGGGACTCCAGATGAGATAGGGCCCGATGCAGCATGTAGATAATGGCATCATCAACCCCGATGCCAGGACGATATGCAAACTGCAGTGGGTCGAGCGCCGAGCTCACTTGGGCACGGAGGTGGCCGAGGACAATCCTCTCCATGGTCTTCATCAGGTGGGAGGTCAAGACAACGGGTCTGTAATGGTTTGGCTCCTTAGGATGAGGTATTTTGGGAACCGGGACAACACAGGATGTCTTCCATAGGGCTGGGACTCTCTCCAGGCTAAGACTCAGGTTAAACATGTACACGACCACCTCACTGAGCTGGCCTGCACACTCCCTGAGGACCCTGGCGCTGATGTGGTCCTGGCCTTAATCCTCCTTAACTCCTTCCCGACCTGGTCTGCCGTGAGGCGGAGGGGGCTGGTGGGCGGTGACTGCTCAGGAGCTGTGGGATGTTGAGAAACCCCCGTGACAGTGGGAGGAGGGGCACGGTCTAGCTGAAGTAAATTTCATGGTTCCACTGGGGCCACTAGTTGTTATAAATACATTATCCATTATTTTGCATGTTGATGTTGGGATGCAAATTGTTGGTAGGCTATAACCAATTTTCCACCTGGTGATGGGGGGGGGGACATTGGGGGTGGAACATTGCCTGATTAGTGGGTTGAACCTTGACAGAAGCATCCCAGAACTTGCATCCATCAAAAACAGACCATATCTGCAGCAAGCCACACCTAGAACACAATGGAGACAGAATGCAGCCTCACCCCCTGGAATTGCCTCATTCCGTACGTGGGTCATACAAATTCCAGATCCAGTCCCTCAAAAACTATTAACCTCTGTAGCAAATCACTTGCCTCATTCCGTACATGGGTCATACAAGGAACTGGTGGAACTGAGTCAGGTTTGTAGGCCACCTCTTAAAGCCATGGCATCATTTTCTGGAATTTTCCAAACTGTTTAGAGCCACAGTCAACTGAGTCTATGTAAATTCCTGACCCACAGGAACTGTGATATAATGACTTATAAATGAAATAATCTGTAAACAACTGTTATTTGGTGCCATACATAGTCCTAACTGACTTACCGAAATGAAAGATTAACATGAAATGTATGGAGTGGTTAAAAAAATCTGTTCAACCTAAGTGTATGTAAACTTCTGAATTCAACTGCCTGGTCAGTCTGTCCTGGTACTGCCAATATAGAATTTGTTTTGACATTTTCAGAGATGTGAATGCTAGTTATTCGACTCAGCCAGCTCTATTAGCAGGCAGCTACATCTCATTCAGAGCACAGCAGTCTGTTAGCGAGGACGCCGGTGTTCCATCTGCACATTATAGCTGCATTTCCACTAGTTGGAACCTAATGAGCAGTACACACCATACTTCTTACCATCATCCAGCATAACCTCACAGGTTGGCATGGACCATCCTACTTTGTCTTCCCATTGTATTTTTCTGTTTAGACGAGACACACACAGCTTGACAGAGGGAAAGCAGAGAATGTGAAGGATCACTCCATAGTGCAACAATCAGCCAGTACCAGATACTGTAGAAATGTGATGTCTCCACTGCTTTGTCCCTGGTCCACTCACTGAACCTAGTTTTACCCCTAAACCAATGAGTGAACGTCTGTCATTTCTATTGTTTTTCTTGAATAATTCCCAAACTAATAATGATATCAGCATCATTCCAAATGCCAGCAGTAGGTTTTAATGGTCAAGCTATCATAGTATGAGGTCTATCATATTGGTGGAGGTATGTACTGTCTCAGTGCTGTCTAATTACAGTAATAATTTCATTTAAAGTGGCAACAGACAGAGAGAGGCAGAGCTAAGGAAACGTACCTGTAAGGTAAGTGATGTATTTTATAACAGCATTGCCCTTTAAGCACCATCATTAGAGAAAATTTTCACAGCAGACATTTTGAACTGCAACTTTGAGATACATACAGGTTTACATGAGCATCAACAACTGAAAAACGTCCCAATTTTTTAAGCATTAATAAGCCTGAGCTAGCCTGAAAATCTAACAGATGTAGATGTCTCATGTCAGTCAGTACATATCTGACACAAACATAGTAACTGATATGGTGCCCTATTCTTAATGCAGCCCTCATTAGCAGTTCTGCAGTCAAACCCTCTTGAATTATGAATGCTCAAAAGTCATTTACATGGAAATGGATCTATCCTACTACTACTGCATATCTGTATCTTTTCCTGGGCTCCACTATCTCCCAGGACCTGAAGTGGACGTCCAAATCAGGACCATCATCAAGAAGACACAGCAGAGGATGTACTTCCTGCGCCAGCTCAGGAAGTTCGACCTGCCCCAGGAGCTGCTGATACAGTTCTACAGAGGAATCATTGAGTCTGTTCCCTGCACCTCCATCACTGTCTGGTTTGGCTCAGCAACCAAACAGGACAAGTACAGACTTCAGCGGACAGTGAGGACTGCAGAAAAGGTCATTGGTGCAAGCCTGCCCTCCATGGAGGACCTGTACACCACACGGGTCAAAAGGAGGACGAAGAGGATGACTGCAGACCCCTCACACCCAGGACACAATCTGTTTGAACTCCTCCCCTCTGGACAGCGCTACAGGTCACTGTGCACTAAGACAACCAGGCACAAGGACAGTTTCTTCCCCTAGGCTGTCAATCTGATGAACACTTAACCCACAACAGTATGATTGGACAATAACCCTCAGTGCAATACCTGTAAATATACCTCATACAGATTATAGAGACTTGTACAGGTCTCTAGTTCTTAAGTACTCTGCTTTAGCCCTATTTATCCCATTTCAATGAACATTCCTTTGTTGTCTGCATTGTTTACTGTCAGTTTATACTGCCTTTTCTGCATTGTTTGCATTGTTTGTTGATGTTAATACTGCTATTTTTTTTATATTATATTTTTTTATACTACACATTGAGAGCCGATTTACCTAAGTCAAATTCCTCGTGTGTCCAACACACTTGGCCAATAAAGCTGATTCTGATTCTGATTTTGTATCCTATGTGATGTCACTGCAAACATATACAATGCAGGGTCCTGGGACATTAGTTTACATCATATCTTTTTGTGATAACTTATGTGTAACATAATACTATAATTAAGGGTCAGCTAAAACAAGATAACAATACCATGACTATATATAATAAAGGCAACATCATTAACCCTTGTGTTCTGTTAAGGATCTTAACATAATGAAACTCCCTTTCAGCTTGACAACCTGAAATGAGCCATTTCTCTTTGTATCTTGACATCTTAATTATTAAAATAGAACACCCTGGTATATGGTTGGATTAGGAGACAATGAGCCTCTCAGTACACACTGGTTAAGGACTCCCCTCCCATCCTACATAGGACCCATAGATGTTTGTAGTCATTTTATGTGCATTGTCATTATGGTGTAGTTTTGTTCTAGATTTTTTATTTAAATTTTTTGCCATTTACCCCTTTTCATGGTAAACTTTCATCTCTTTGAAGTAATTTATTTTTAATGGTAATTTTTTATGCCTTTATGGTTGTTTTGTGTCTTTTGACAGAGCTCTATGAATTTCAAACTAAAATAGGAGTAGAATGGGAGGCAGAGCTATCAAGCTCCTCTTTTGTGGAACCAGCTCCCAGTTTCAGTTCAGGAGGCAGACACCCTTTAACATTAAACTTATGACTTTTCTTTCTCATAAAGCTTATAGTTAGGGCTGAATCAGGTGACCATGAGCTTTCCCTTAGTTATGCTGCTATAGGCCTAGGCTGCTGGGGGGCCCCATGATGCTCTGAGTTTCTCTCCTCTCTTCTCTCTCCATGCACCTATATACCACCATTATGTGTCACTAACTGTCTCCTCTCTCCCGTAGTGTGTCCTCTCTCTCTCCCTGTACCTTTCTGGTAGCCCTGGCTCTGGAGCTTTATGTTTCTGATGAGCAGTTACCGGCCACATCAACCTGACCAGTGTTTGATTATTTGTTGTTTTGTTTGCTGTGTCCTGATGCTATTTTCTTTTCTCTCGCCTCTACTCTCTCTTCTCCACTTGGGTCTGTTAAAGGGAGTTTTTCCTCCCCATTGTCACCAAGTGCTGCTCAAGGGGAATTTGTTGGGGTTTTCTCTATAATACTGTATATGATTTGAGATGATTGTTATTATGAGTTGGTGCTATACAAATAAAATTCAATTGAAGTGAAATAAAATATGTCACTTCATACAGAAGCACAGGTCCAAAACCCCCTAACTTCTTGGGCCCCTGGGCCTGTGCCCAGTGGCCCCTGTCCAGTTCTCCATCCAAAAATACAAATGTCAAAGTGTAAATAAATTAATTACTAAGTTTTACTGTAGGACAGGATGTTTGAGACAAAATCCAATGTGTGTGTGTATAGTAGCCACTTTTAGTTTGGTGATTTTTCCTGGGGCCCATCTTCTTCCTTTTCGTGGTGCTGTTCAGATAATCCTGTGGGCTAATTATTGTTCAGGTATTTTTACTCTGTATTAATGATTAATAATATCACACTTTTGTTCAAACACCGCATGCCCTTCAAGATGATACATAAGCCTTTTTTTAATAAACGTAAAGTACTGATGTTTCGTTGAATGTATTTCAGCCTGCTACTGACAGCAATATACAAAGCGATCAGCAGGTGGCAGCAACGAGACAAACTAGTTGGGAGTCCGTCATAAACACAGAAGAAGACCGCGTCATCGTCGTTCTTGCTATAGTCTGGTTTTGCTACACACTACATCTGTGACTAAATGACGGAACGTATTTCGAGTGGGTTTTCCATAATCTGAAAAACTAGGTAAGTTCATGAGACCGAGAAAGTTGGACAAGTGGACAGACTGAACAATCGGATTTGGCAAAAATCTATATGAACGTTAACTTTCTCACTGTAAAACACGTCTGTATTTTTATTTGACGGATTATTTCGTGCAGCTGTGAACATTGATAGATGCATACGGTAGTTTAGAATCGTTAACGTCATCAGGAATTGAATCGAGCACCATGATGTAGAGGTGATTGTAACGTTGTAACGACGGGCTAATGCTTTCGTACCTGTTCTCCAGCCAAGTATGTTTTTGTGGAGGCCGAAAGGTGTGGCAGGAGGGACAGCAAGGGTTTACAAGGCGTGCAGTTGACTTTTATTATTATTGTTGTTGTTGTTGTTGCTGTTATGATTATTTTTATTAGTAGTAGTAGTAGCAATACCACAGTATAAAAATACTCTTACAATTAAAAGTCTTGCATGTTACTTACGTGAAAGGACAAAAGTGTAAGCACCAAAATATAGCCTACTTAAAAGTACCATTTAGTAAAAGTAGGCCTACTCATTATGCAGAATAGCACATCACACATGAATCTATATCATATTGGATTAATGCATTGTTGTGCACATCACATGTAATGATGCAACAACCTTACAGTATATGTTTATAATTTGAAGCACTTTACATACTGCTGGGCAGCTTTTGAATTTTTCACCAGGAATCATTGAATTCATGATTATAGTGTAAATGGCATTAATCTGACTATGAAAAGTAACTAGTATGGTGTGACCAGAGTGAATGTATTTGTTTGTTTGTTTGCGGTTACATGCTATTTATGACTATGCCAGTCAAATGCATGAGCAATGCAAATACATGGAACTAAAACTGTTTCATGTTGCTGAGCAAGGTGTTTCCTGCTTCACTCCGTTGACTGTAAGTGTGTTTTATTTTGAAACCTAGATGTATTATAGCCTCTGCTCAGATATGTTCAGTATGAGGCTAATGTCAGTGTTTGATGTAAATAACTACATACTACATGGACAGAATGTTACCACTTAATTATTGCTTTATAAGTAATGGTTAATAAAATACAATGATTCACAGTTATAGACTGGATTGTACGTTTAAACAAAAAGGTTTGACATGTGTGGACAGCAGCAGTAGATGATAACCACAACTGTCGCTTAATGTGAAATTTAATTCACTTTAAATAAATGTGGATGATTTAGTCATTTCAGCTGGGGGTGTGTACACATTACAATATGATACTACTGAAGTGAGGCTGATTTATATTCTCATGCAAAAGCATGTAATAAAAGGGTAATTAGTATCTGAGTATTAAAGAAATCACAAAGGTCATTGCTGAGTTGATGCTGAATTTATATTGGTACATATGGTAGCACATCAGAATCTGCTACCATCAAACGTTTTACATATGTTTGAAAAGAGAGGCAGTAAATATCAATTGAAAGGAGTATTCGTGTTCAAAAAGCCAAAAGTAAGGATGGATGTTAAAAGCAGATATATTTCAGTACGATGTGTAAACCTCTAATAATCTAGAGGATGACTTTGTTTAAAACAAAGGTGATCGATTGGTAGAAAAATATTGTTTGATAAACCATCAAGCTATATTGTCTGTGTAATCACTTTGTTTCAAATGTTTACATACAGTTTAATGTATGTGTGAGTAGATGTATAGGCTAAACATTCACATGTAGGTTGGTTTGCTGATTTTAAAGACCAAAATAAACTGAGCTGTAGTTTTCTTACTGTAGGCTGTAGTAGCAGTACTGTTCGGTTTCAGGGGAGAATTTGAACTTCTAAAGGCTGTTTGAAATTTTTTTTAAGGTTAATAAGGCTGCACAATCCATAACTTACTCCAAAAGTGTCTGTGTTGAAGGACTTTGGTTCTTCTTACCATTGCTAACTCTGAGAGATGAGGCAGTCCAAGTAACTTCAAAACAGTGCTGATTTATTCAAAGGATCACAGGTAAAATTAACATTACACGCTCAGGTATCTTGCACCTCCAAACTGCTCGCAGGCAGATGTAAGATGAAAGACCCTGAATCCACCAGGCCTATACATTATATCCCTTTGGTTGGGCTAGCCCCATACTACACAGAAACGTCCACCGAGACGTCTCTGTTACCAGCTTTGCAGCTGGTCATAGCAGTAGTCAAAACATGAAGCAAATCAATGTGTGTGTGTCTGTTGATTAAGAGATGTGTAACTAAAAACATTCTCACAGACTTCTAGTAACATGTCGTGACTTAAACATAAGAACATATTATGGCTAAGGCTACAGTTCTACACGTCATAATAATAATATTAAACACCCTGTCTGCTGACAGTCATCAACTCTTCTCTCTAGTTATCCTTGACCAGATGTACCCTGTAGAAACTCATAAGCATGACTAAGCATTTAACAGTCTAACTAGACATCCTATCTCCACTAAACATTTCTAATACATAAAGTATCTATCCAATATCTATCTGACTAAAAATACCTAACAGTGTGTTTGTGTGTGCGGGTTCTAGATTAGTCACCATGACAACCAAGCGTGGACTGATAACCGATTCATTCAAGGTGGTGAAGAGAGCAAAGAGGGGAGGGAAACGAGAGAAGGCACCTCCTTCTCCTCTGCCACAGAAAGGTGAGGAGCAGCCCAGTGTTTGTGAGGTGCTCATGTTTGCTCGATGTTTGTTCTGCGTTGTATGTTTCTAATCTCCCCTTAGTGAAACATTTATTGTTTTCAGCATCACTGTGAAAAACAGTCTTATTCATATTTTCATATATGTTTGCTAGGTAGCAGGTAGCATTGAAAAGATTTTCTTTTTGTTTGTTTTTCTATGTTTTACTGATATATGCTACGTATGCATGACTGCCCTATAATATTAAAGATTTGTAACATTTATGTGAAATGCCTCTTTATATAAATAAGCAGTTTATTTAAGTATTATTATTATTTTGCTATTAAAATGTGTTTTGTTAATTTTTAAAAAATGACACTGTTCTACATGTAACTTTATTTCTCTTCTTTTTATTGTTGGATTTCTCTTATACTTGTTCTTGTGTAGTAGTGACTTGAATTCTCTCTGCATCTTTTGGATGAACTAGACGCTGAAACAGTCAGAGAGGAGGACCTGCAGCAGCTCATACAGTTTGATCTGGACTGGAGATTTGGGCCCTGCACAGGTAGCACACAGGAAAAACTAGAAAAATGACCAGTCAAACTCATGGGAATGGGACAAAGTCACCGTGACTTTGACCTTTGACCACCAAAATATAATCAGGTCATTCTTCAGTCCAAGACATTTCACATTTGTACCAAATTTAAAGAAATCCCTTCAAGATATTTCTGATTTACTGCATTCACGAGAATGGACCAACCGGCTGCCTGGACAACCCAAAAACATAATAATGATAATTCTATAATTTTATATACATACCAAAGGAGATAAATGAAAATATGTCAACTGAAATATTATTCACTGGTAGGAATTAATGTACAGGATGAGAATCTGAGTACTATGAAAAGCTTTCCCCCATTTGAAATGTTTAAATTATTATATGAAAAATGGGATTAAAAGGAGAACCAGTAGTACATAGTGCAGTCTTGCTACAACAATTTCTGCACGCTAAACAGAATAAAGGCTGACAGTATTTGGAGCTCAAGAGCAGATCCTCATGATTCAAAAAATGCCTTAAAAGCAGACTGATGATGTACTGTAGGTCCAAGATGTGGTTAGCCTTGCTTGCTCAAATGGGATAAAATGCAGGGGTAAACTGCTAGCTCAAAAAAAAAACATTAATCATTTAACTCCAATGAAATTAGATGGATGTTTTTTCTATTTGATGCTAACAAGATATTATCTCTGTTTTGAGTGGTGACAAGTTTATGTACGTCTCCCACCAGCAGCCAGTCTGTTTTGCAATACATGATCACACAAATAGATATTTTAAAGCTGCAGCATATTTTGTAATTACAATGTATTAAATGATTACTTGTAATAAGAATGGTGGTGCTTGTAGTAATGAACCCACAATGAATCATCACCTACCCTGCACTTCCCCTCAGCTCCATGCAGCTTTTTAGCTGATTGCTTTGATTTTCTGTGTTTGGTTCAGCCTCTCCGCTGTTTTTTTTAGCTTGTTTCCAGCATCAAAAAGCAGCTGGTAGCTAAGTGCCAATGTTAGCCACAGTACTGGGCTTACAGTCATATTAGTGACAATACTGAACTTCCATTGACAAGGTGGCCAGAAAAGCATTTCCAAATAAATGCCCATGTTGCAGTGTCTGTTGGATGTGTAAACTGGTGACTGCTAATATAATTCATCAACTGATCTTTATTCTGTGGTAATATGTCAAAACATTTTGTTTACAGCTTGTTCTGCTGCCCTCAAGTGGCCAAAATACATCTGTAAATGCAGCCTTTAAGGAGCCATCCATCCATTATCTATACTGCTTACTCCTTAATAGGGTCACGGGGGTGCTGGAGACTATCCCAGCTGACATTGGGCAAGAGGCAGGGTCCACCCTGGAAAGGTGGCTAGTGTATCACAGGGCTAACATGTAGACAAACAACCCCACACACACATACATTCACTCGTAAGGGCAATTTAGAGTCACTAGTCAACCTAAGCTGCACTTAACCCACGACAGTATGACTGGACAATAACCCTCAGTGCAATACCTGTAAATATACATTGTACAGATTATACAGATCCCTACAGGTCTCTAGTACTCTATGTTTATCCCTATTTATCTCATTTCAATGAACATTCCCTTGTTGTCTGCATTGTTTACTGTCTATTTGTACTGCTTTTTCTGCATTGTTGGCACTGGTTGTTGATGTTAATACTGCTATTTTGTTATATTACACAGCCTTATGCTGGTCTACTGTTTGCACATTGAGAGCCGATGTACCTGAGTCAAATTCCTCGTGTGTCCAACACACCTGGCCAATAAACTGATTCTGATGTCTTTGGATTGTGGGAGGAAGCCAGAGTACCCGTAGACAACCCACGCAGGCACAGGGAGACACAGACAAATGCAGGAAAAGCTCTGCATAGGGGTCGCTGGGGACTCGAATCCTGAACCTTCTTGCTGTGAGGCAATGGCGCTAACCACTATTCCACTGTGCCAACCCACCTTTAAAGATGTATTTAATAAAAGCACTGCTAATAGAAGTAGCTATTGGGACTGTTTGCCATCTTCTGAACTGAAAAAGCTCAGATGAACTCTCTTCTGTAAAAGGTGCAAGCTTAATAAATCTGCGAGTGATATCACAGTCTATGTGCTTTTAAAGTCCAACTGAAATCTTTTTGCACAAAGCAGTTTTGTAACAGTTTTTTTCCTGTATTATTTTGATGCCATAAATCTTTTTGATTTGTCTTTGTGATAAAAGTGTAGTTGGTGTAAAAATAGTTTTTAATCACACAAAGAACTGAATCTTTTATCTTATCGCCTCCCTCTGTCAGGTATCAGCAGGCTGCAGAGATGGGAGAGAGCAAAGCATCATGGTCTGAACCCACCTGAGGAGATCAGAGACCTTCTGCTGCAAACACATGCTGACCCTAAGTACAAGCTGAGGTAACACACACACACACACACACACACACACACACACACACATACAGTAGGGATTTGGTAGTATCCCCAGAGTATATGTTTACTTTGTTTTAGCTCTGATACTCAGTATGTTAAATGCATACAAAACATGTTGTTAGAAGAAGTACTAGCCCCTCCATGAGCCTCTGCTACCTACAAGTTGATGGTTGGCTCAGACCATAGATATATACACTTAGATGCTGCATGAGCCACTTCTGTCTGCTACAGCAGTACATCACCACAGCCGTCATGCTCCCAGGGACGATGTTGCGCGTCCTAATGCATGTATGCGCATGTATATGTGCGAGGGCAGGTCTATCCACAATAAAAATCATCATAACTTGCTGAATTTACAGACAGTTTTCCAGCCTTTTAGTTTGTTACAAACCCTAGAGATGTATTTATGATGCACGATGTTTGGTTAAATTAAAAGTACAGATTCTCATATCAAAACACTTCATCATTTGCATATTGTAACAAAATATTTATATAATATACAATGTACACTCCATAATTAAAAAGTAATAATCCTGCCATCCCTCTGCATTGTAGAATGGCTGCTATAATACAAAATTACAACAAACACTAAAGTTAAAAGATTAAATAACCTACATATTTTGACCGGCTACACTGTTCTCTTTTTAATTACATTTCTAGTGAAATGTTCATATTGTCCTCATTTATATTTTATTTTGCTTTATCTTCGTAAAATATTTATACACAGTATGTATTGAAGGGCTGTGCAGAGCTGCCGTTTAACAGTTATACATTCTGATAAACCAGTCTTATAGCTGTGTGCAGCTGCATCAAGAAATGAGTCAGAGGTGCATTTATATCCTATAGAAACAATTAGCCAGTGGCACTAACTGTGCATGCATGGTCTGGAAAAGTAAGAACCAACAGGGTCGCTACGTCCTTTAAACACACTGTGTGTCCAGTCCTGCCACAGCTGAGCCCAGTGACTCTGGGGTGTCTGCAGCTGTCATTATGCACTATTGGACAGTCACTGTCTGTCTTTTCAATGTACTTTTCTGGAACCTATACACACAAAAGGTCCATCAGATAAAAATAGTATTGGTATGTGATTCTGGGTGTTTTTATCATTTCAATACAGACATACTGTAGTTTGTGGCCCAGCACTAGAGGCATGATGCTTATCATGACATCTGACTGCTTTGTTCTTGCATTTATAAAATTGATACCATAACATTTGTTTTTTTTCACATATAGTAGCTAAGGTGATCACATGACTGGTCAACAGATTGTAAATACAGTAAATAAACTGGAAATAGCTGGCGACAACACTCTGATGAAAGTAAAATTATCTGAAACCTTTGGTAAATAAAATTTGTTGCCTACTATCAGCTCCTATTATGTTAAAGTGTTAACATCACAGTGCTGCTATTAGTCATCATGAAAGAAATGCATGGGGGATTTTGCTTCCTGTTGCCATATCCTGACACAGGCTAGGCGGCACTCAGATGCTTATGCTGTGAACTAAGGAACCAACAAGCAAACCAAAAAAATGCCAGTAAAACATTACTTCCATGTTGGTGGAGCAGATTTTGACTCTACACCTGCTTTAGTATTTCTGCACAGCTCTAATAATAAGCCATTAATTAATATTAATATCCTGATAATTCAAGATGCATGGCAGACACTATGAAATCAGGCTCCCACACATATTACTTCATATTACTGTCAGTGATATTGTTATTAAACAGAGAATGTATCGTGATTTAGATGAAAAAAGAGATCCAGCTATTGTAAAGCAGGCAGAGTCCTGAACTTTTAAACTTTCTTACTGACCAAGATATTTCTATTAGAGTCCAGTACCGGGTCAAAGGGTACCAGCAAAAAATTATGTGTAACGGGTGAAAAAAGTTTATATTAATTCATGAGTACATGGGGAAAAAAAGTCCTAAAGTCTAGCTTAATTACGGTACTGACTGGGTCACGAGTTTTACGTTAGCATCTTGGGTCAGTTTCAGATTTCATATAACTCCAGATAACTTTCAGGTTTTCAAAATTGGTCCTGTGCTGGACTCTGATTTCCAGAGCTGAGTGTCAGACACCATTGACAACAAAATGTTGGTGGTGAATTCACGCTTCCATTGTGACTCTTGAATTATTCAGTGATTAGAGTGCATTTGTTGAAAAATGTAGACTCATATTCAGTCATAACTCTTGCAGACACATTATTATTACAGTTGTAATACAGTGTTCTTCAATAATTGTGTTATTTCTCTTTCAGTCTCTGGAGTGAATATCCTTTGTGAGGAAGTCATCAGAACAATGAGAAGAGAATACAGACCCCAACAAAAGTCAATTTGTGTTTATTTCTAATGTATATTGACATTTTGAATTACAGTATATGCCCAAATGACAAATAGTACTCAGAGGGCGTTACAATTTGTACAACATTGACACTCAAAAACAGAGCAAAAAATATGTAAACAAAGGAACCATAGAGGGATCCCCCCTTAAGAATGAAGACATACGACTGACAGAATATCCAGTGTTTTTTCCTGCAGCTGTGTGATGTGGTCTTCTGTGCACAAAATGTTTTTATAATTTTTAATTTAAAAAATCATTCTACCAAAACACTGCCCTGTTCCTTTTTGTAGTATTTATGGTAGGCAGGGCTAACTCACTATTAAATAGTGAAGCAGATGTGAATGAGAAATGATTCCACATTCACATATTTTGCTCCCCTTTGGTATCTTGCATGTGGTCTGCACACTGACATACATTTGCCTTGGTATTTTTATAACTGACCTAACTTACTCTCTCAGTTTTTGCACTCAACTCCATGAAATACTTGAGAGAGAGAACTGAGTGAGGTGATACTGTATATTCCCAATAGCAATAATAATACACATATATGTCCAAAACTTATTTTAATATGCAGGCATCCAAATATAGCTTGTATCCATTGAGAATGCAGCTGAACAAAATGTACTGTACTATTCATTTTGAAGTAGAAAAAAAAGAAAACACTTTATAAGTGTTATTATGAGTAATACTGATTATGGAGGTTGCATCCACTGGAATGTACAGAAGCGCATTGCCTTCACGAAAGAAAAAAAAATTGAGGATCTCATCTCATAATTATGACTTGCTATCTCATATTTACAAGAAAATATCTCATAATTATGAGACTTTTTCCACATAATTGTGAGATAATGCAGGAGTTGGAACGCTGCAGAACTTGCCTAAAATTCACCAGGTTTTAACAAATTCTTTAGTATCAGAGTAATTCAGTGACAGTTGTCAGGATATCCAATAGCGCATAACAAATGTGAACTGTTAATAGCTAATTCAGTATACTAAGTGTTCCAAGATGTAAATAAATATAGAAGGGCCTCAAAGATGCCGGATACAGTGCAACTCACTATAGGCCTATACATGTATTGAACTGGAGTTGGAAAGCTTCAGAACCTGTTTCAGAAGCGTTTGCAGAGTTTTTAAGAGTTCTTCAGTAGACTATTTATGTAATTCTGATAGCACATCCAGTAGTAAGATAAGTAGCAAAATTAACTGTTAATAGCGGATTCAGCATACTTAGTGTTCCAAAATGTAAACAAATAGGCCTATCGTCTAGGCTAAAAACAGCGCCCGCATTGTAACACGCTACAGTATATCCATGGCAACATTGCGTAGCTGACAGCCTGATTCCTGTTTCTTGTCGAAATTCATATCTGTTCACATGATGACTAATAGCATTTAATGCTTTGTCATAATTACGAGATCCAGAGATCAGGATCTTGTAATAGGCTGTTATTGTTGCTGATTAAGAAGACAGTGGCATTATAGGCTACCTGATTTAACTGTCTAGATACAATGCCCTATATACTATTGGACTATCTATATAAAGAATATGAGCTTAAATGTCAAATTTTCAGAAAAACATTTTTTCATTGTATTTTGTAAAATGTCACACACATAGATCACACTATTACAAGAAATTGCTAAGTAGTTGGATATAATGTTGCCCCTTTTTTGCCTAAATTTGTTTACGTTTTGGAACACTAAGAACGCCAAATTAACTATTATGAGGTCATTTCTGTTATGTGCTCATCAGATGAGAGAATTACATTATTACTTATGATATACCCAATGAATACCCAATGTTTCTTAAGCAGGTTGTGAAGCTTTCTGACCCCTGCTCAGTACATATAGCCAAATGAGTTACACTGTAGGCAGCAACTCCGAGGCCCGTTTGTAGTTTATATTTGTTTACGATTTGAAACACTAAGTATGCCGAATTATTGGATGTACCAATAACTATCACCGAATTACTTTGATACTAAAAAATTTGTTAAAACCTGAAGATTTTCAGGGAAGTTTGTAGCGTTATGTCATAGTTACGAGAAAAGGATCTCGTAATTATGAGCTAGCAAGTCATAATTATCAGCTAGCATCCTTCAATGTTTTCCTTTGGTGAATGCAGTGCGCTTCCGTAGGAACGCACTCCCTGTTATCACTTTAAATGTATTAGCCCGCCCCTAGCATCATTCGATTGGTTTGCAGTTTCATCATACGCTCAGAGCTCAATGTTGACTGGCTTGCATTTCGATCAGTTGATCGACAGTAGACGCACCGCCGGCTGACTGGTCAAGAACTAGGCGACTGCTATCAGGGGCGTGGCGGCTTTGTAGTAAAGCTTCCAGTGGGCAGGATGTTACGGGATTCTCCACTCCGATTCGTTAATGTGCTGCGTCAGTCTTACTCCTGGGCTTCTCATTAGTTCACCCTTAGCTCCGCTGGGATTTTGCTCTGGAAAATGCCATTAATGACGGTCATTACGGGATCGCAACGTCCTTACAGGCAAAATTAGCTGCAATAACAGAAGTGAGACGACTCTAATTTAAAAATAAATGACTAAAATTTATGGGTGCTGGAAGAAATACAGCTGCCAGTTACCCGTTTGTCGTGCAGTACTTGGGGGAATTCCCCAAATATCCTGATACAATCACTGTTATGAAATATACATTTAGATTTGATCGTGGCAGTTAGCATTTTTCAATCCGGTCCTCCTTTTTTGAAAGTTTTGACCGGAAGTTGCGTTCTGTGATTGGGTAACTTGATGCTCTGCTTTGTAGCCGGAATAGTACTCACACTGGCGCAGACACTTGGATAGCCAGCCTGAAGAGTAATAATACCATATTGCCTGGCTCAACTATTCTTTAACCATATTTAGAAAAAGATTTGCCTTAAATAAGCCTTAATTGTTTAACTGACAAGCTTTTTACCGCTCAGAAATCGGTACTATTTCAATGGAAATATTGCTCTAATGATTTTTCACCCACGAGCCGCTATCGCAGACAAGATAGCCGGTTGTAATTAGTATTTCTCAAAAATTTGCTTCTTTCTTGTCGCTGGCGTGGGTAATTCAATCTGAAACTCGGTGCTTCGATACACCCCGTCATACTTAAACTGTAGGAATAGTGGACTTAGGACACCCAGGCACAGCGACCGCACTGGTAAGCAACCTGTTCATCTCCGCAGAATTAACCTTAACATTAAGCTATAACATAACGCTAGCTGCCTAGCTAGCTAGTCACCTACAGAGACAGTGAAGTAGCTAGCTCCCCAGCTAACTGGTAACTTATGGCTCAAAAGCTTTATCTTGTCAGTATTTTCACCTGTCGCTTGACATATGGAATTATCTTATAACCAGTTCAGTATGTAGCCCGTTCAAATTGCAGGCACACCGGATTAGTCTCGAGCAACACGGCTCCCAGTGTCTGCCGTTATGTCATGATTGTCATCCATATAACCAGGATTTAGGCGAGGCTACTTGTAATAGCAGAGAATATTGAACGTTAACTGCTTATTTTATGTATCCTCGAGCAAGTAACTGTGCGTAACGTTATTTTCATGATTGTTGTTTCATGTGCAATCAATTTATAAGCACATGTTTGGCTCCTTTCCAGCATATAGGGGAAATTTTCTGTTTAAAAGATACATTGATTTAAGGTCATCCTCTAGAGTTGGCTAATTACCTAAAACACACGCCTTCTTCTTACAGCCTGATTTAATGATTTTACGAAATTGAGAACATCGAATTCGGCATAGATGATCTGCCATGAAGGGCTCAAATAATACTAAAAGTTTTTGAATTATTCCAGGCTAATGGTGGACGGAGATCCTGAGAACACCGGGGATATGTTTTTGTCCACTTTGTACATTCGGCTATACCGAATGGACGAGTGACACCTGCTTGTTTGTAAAATAATGTATGCCTTGTTCCATCTGCTTCTTTTCATCTGGTAATAGACAGAAGAGCGTTAGATTGTCCGATTTTTGAATGGAGTTTGGATAAAGTCCGAAGCCAAGTAGCCTTTCAGAGAAGCACAGCATATAACAAGAGAGAAATATTGCAACACAGAGCCACCTCACACTTTGTGGACAGTAATTCATGTCTCCTGGGACAGTTTGTCTCTGCAGGTTACAGTCTGTGTCGTTGCTTGGGTATACAATAGGCTGTATTTGATTCCCTAGCCAAGTAATGCTCTAACAATGCCAAATTTTTATTGCATGTGCCAAAAAGCATATTCATGTTGAAAATACTGCAATATTGTCTTTGATTTAAAATCAGATTCGCCTAGTTCCAGTCAGTGTGCTCCACCTCTGTAATAAAACATGTAAATATTTTAACATTTGAGCATGAAGATAAAATATAAAAATGTATTTTCAAGATGAAATATCATCATTAAACCCTTCCTATAGATTTTGTTATTAAACAGATGATTACTGAATGATTATACAGTACAGTAAGTTGATAAAATAGGGTTTTGAAAGTTAATATTTTTGTACTCACAAATCTTATTGCTGATATTGATATTGCACTGTCCTCTCTCCCCTCATCTATCAATAGTGATGGATAATGCTCATACTAAGACGGTGGAGGAGGTTTTGGGCTTCTTTGGTGTAAATGAGTCTACAGGTCTGAGCTGTGAGCAGCTGAAGAAGAACAGGGAGCGATGGGGACCCAATGGTATGTTTTTCAATTATTATTAAGTATTTGTGAAGTCTCAGTTCACTGTAGCCACACAAGAATAACACTCTTGTTTTCTCAATATCAGAATGTTGTGATGTTGATGATTAAATTACTGCAATTATTACTACTGCTGCCAACAATCATTATAGCACATACATAACATACAGTATACATAATATCATTTTTGAATTAATTCAGGACTAATGTTCCTATAGTTAGAGATGCACCGATTGCAATTTTCTGGGCCACTTCTGATTTCCAATTTTTTTTTTTTAAAGTCTGACCTGCCAATTCTGATTTTGTTTCTTTCTAAGAACTGTCACTGACAGCATACACAAACATTTAGTTTTCCTCAATGAAAATTAAATTGTAATGAGAATAAACATTGTATTTAGTAGTTTTACATTTTCCATCTTTCTCTTGTTTTATTTACAGACCTCTAACTAAAAATGAAATGTAATATTTGTATTTCTCCAAATATAAACAGGTACAACCTTTCCCAAGTGCTTGGGAAAGGAAAAATAATTAATCACTGCTCTGTAATTCATAAAGCAACGTATCAGTGGTGATGATGTTTTTTCTTTATCCTCTCTCCTTTCTATCCATTTTTAACTCTCTTTACTCACAGAATTGCCAGCTGAAGAAGGTGAGCTATCTATCTATCATCTATCTATCTACAGTATCTGTTTGTTACAGCTATCACAGTCTTTCTTTCTGTCTGTCTGTCTGCTGTTGTCCATTTTTTGTCTTGGTGTCCCTATGCAGGGAAGTCCCTTTGGGAGCTGGTCCTGGAACAGTTTGAGGATCTGCTGGTTCGAATCTTGCTACTAGCTGCATGTATCTCCTTTGTAAGGGAACACAACTGTGCAGAACCACTAGCAAACATATACATAACAAATATGTATGTATGAATTGTCAAAGTTTATCCCTGCGGTATGCACACAATAATGAATGAAATGTGCACAAATAACAGCACATGCCATACTGTACACAAATGTTCAGCTTTTTTGTGTGGTTGTTTTTTTCTAGGCTCTGGCTTGGTTTGAAGAAGGGGAGGGAACAATCACAGCCTTTGTTGAACCCTTTGTCATCCTCCTCATCCTCATTGCCAATGCTATTGTGGGAGTATGGCAGGTAAATTGTGTGAATGCATGTGTGCAACAACTGGAGATTCAGTTGTCAATTTCTGAGATCCATTCCAAGGTGCTTTTTTTGTCCATCTATTAATATTAAACTGGCTTTATACATAATGTTGTTATGAACTTCCTAACTTTACCCACATGCCAGCTTCTCATACCATTCGTATAGGACTGGATATCAGCACTAACTCAATTTAATTTTTATTCCAGAATTTCTTAATTTATATTGGTTTAATTCTTGATTATTCATTTACATCAGATAAATAGCAGTGTTGTATAAAATGGTTCTCAGAATTTGGCCTGGGAACTGAAACATTTAAAGTGCAAATTATCGGCTAAATTGTAACCACATTTCCCTGATGTAATATAATTTTCCTTTGAAATTGCAAAATGATGAAAACATGGCACATGAGTATTTTGGGGATCTACGTATATGTTTGTGCATTAAAAACCCGACCTTTTCCAAGGTTGTCATCATGATAAAAAATAAATTTTATCCCAGGCAGCTACACATGGACAGTCTCTGACTTGCATACTCATACACACACACTTGCTAGCCTGTTTTAAGAGGTTGTGTTTTTTTTTTTTTTTTTTTTTTTTTTTTTTTTTGCCCACCCTTCAAGTTCTGAACAGCTATAAACATTTTTACTTTCAGAGCTGGTTGGACAGCACTCTGGCATTGAGAGTTACACTGCTGCTGCTGACACTGTAAATACGCACATACAAATGAACATACAGTATATATCTGGTAAGCACCATCTGACATGCCTCCAAGCTAATATTGTAGAGTCTGACACAGAGGACGACTAAGGATTCATTTGGCCCATTTCGCTCAGTGTGACATAGAAAGAACTTCTAATGACTATTATCACGCAGTGTTGGGCCTTTAGCGAAGGGTGATATGTCTTGTAAAAGTAAATTAAAGGGCTTAATATACCAAATCTTTTTTAGGTACAGTTGATAATTAATCAGTGTCCTGTAATCAGCAAATGCTTTGCAGTTTCCTGTTGATTTGATTTTATGTGCTATGTGTATCATTTTTATATATACAGTAAATATATATCATTGTTATATATAATGCAGTAATTACCAGATGTGGTTGAGATAACTGGCAGCTAGATTGCATTCTAGTGGCATTGTTATTACAAATCTGCACAATTTATTTTTATATTTCACTCCATCACTGTTGATTTTTGGGAGCTTAAGTCACATGGAGTGTTATCTCTGGCCTGCCATATTGTAAAGACTTTACATGTACCACGTGTGGATGCATGCATAACAGAGTCACTGCCTTTAGGCATTGGTCATCAGAATCAAATACCGTATGTTTTTATTAAATTCCATTTATTATAAAATCAGAAAAGTCCTTGATACCCATGGTATATCTGAAAAACACTGGGACTTTTAGCTGGTACTTTAGTTAGACTAGTTTTAGTACAAGTGCTGACATTTTTTCAGAGACACTAGTTACATAAGGGATGACACTGTGGTCCATCTTGTGTTGTGTTTGTTTCTCTTGGTCCGGTGTTTCCTGTTGATCCAGTTTGGGTTTTTAGGCATAAACCATCATTTTTACAAACTCACAGTCTCTTTATTTTTTCTTTTTCTTTTCGCACACTCACACACACTCCTTACACTTCTCAGTCGCACACTCACACACACTCCTTACACGTCCTCTTTGCAGGGATGTGTGTCTTCCCTTTTTCTGTGATTCAGCATTTTTCATTCCTTGGATTAGATTAGATGTAAAATCACTTCAGTACAATCATTTACATATTCGCTAATGATTATTTCAAACAAAACACACACATAAATCATCTTATGATTATCCTTACTTATTAAAAGCTTAACTTTCTACTTCATGCATTTTGCCTGAGCATTTTAATTATTTTTCTCCCTCTTCCAGCTTCTCTTGCTGTCTCTCTTCTTCCTCCAGGCCCAATTCAGCCTCTCATCTGTTCCCCACCATGCATTTTGCACTCTTCCATTCCTTCCTATTTTCCAACCCCTTTTGCTGTTTCCTTCCCTTTCTTCAACATCGGACTCAACATCATCCACCACCAGATGTTCAGCATCCTTTTCCATTTCTTCATGGCAGGAGTCTGCTGGTTCCATAGGGTCAGGTGTGATAGGAAGACTACAGGCCTCCCTTCAATTCCTCCACCGCCTCTTCTTCCTCTTCCTGCACTGAGATATTCTCTGTCACCGGTGCAGTTCCTTCGGGCACACACAGCTCATTTTCAGCCTCCTCTGGCCTATCTGTCATCTCCTTACATTCTCCTTCATTATTTAGTGGTCATTCCCATATTTCTTGTAACCATTCTTGCTGTTCTTGTGGGACTTCTAACTGCAAAGAGACAATTTGTTCAATAGTCTTCTGCAGCTCTTCCTGTAAGGTCATTTCTGACACCAGGTCATCAAAGGTCGGTGCTGCCTCAGTGTGCTGTGTTTCCTGGGATTTTTCTTGGTTCTGTCCGGGACCCGTATTTACAGCTTCGCTGACATAACGGAGGCTGAATCATGACAACTGTATGTTTTTAAAGCCTGGTGGATATGCTGCTGTTTCTTGGGTTTAGCCTCAGTGCCTGTTGTCCTCTGTGTTCCATGGTATGATGTTTGGGGTACAAGTCCAGTACGTGCATGGGTGGTGATAATCAACAGAACAGTGTGTGCTTTTCTGTAGTCCTACATTTTGAGGTTCTCCTTTTCTTTCAGGAAGATGACACAGTCATGAATGGCAATTCATTCTTATAAATCTCCTGCTTTGTAGAACTGGGTAGTACAGTTCATCCAGTGAGTTTTGGCCTTTAAAAAGAACTGAAACCATTCAGACCATTTGAGAAACAGCTTCAGTAAAATGTTTATTTTGTTAATTTACTGACCTAGTATGGTAGCACCTAGGGGTCAGCAGTAGTTGTGACTTTGCATTGGGATGAAATTATTTGACAATGTGCACCCATCATATGCTGACTTATCACAATTTTACATAGTGTATTTCATGTTGTTGGTTTCTACAGGAGCGTAATGCAGAGAATGCCATTGAGGCTCTGAAAGAGTACGAGCCAGAGATGGGCAAGGTGTACCGACAGGACAAGAAGTGCGTCCAAAGAGTCAGAGCCCGTTTGTCCCTGGAGACATTGTAGAAGTTGCAGGTAAGCTGACAAACACAACAAGAATAATCATCAGCCTCATCCTACATATCATGGAGGCAGTGATAACAACACCTGAAGGTTAGTTTGAGCCTCAGACATGGTACGATATGCAGCTTTTACGGTTTCACTTTAAAATCCCATGAAAGTGATACTCCAGTCAGCACCTGTTGAGTGTCAAATACTGTACATAAGCAGCAACAACTTCCTCATTTCTAAATAGGGTACACAAGCTGTTCATGTAAACCTTGCTGTAAACAAATGACAAAAAAACTCTATAAACTCCATACAGTGCAGTGAATAATAACTGTGACTATGCAGAGAGTTCAGTTGGGTGTTATGGTTCATTGGAAGGGAATTGGAGTGTTGGTCTGTTGAGGATTGTCACAACTTGAGGGAAGAAGCTGTTGCAGACCTGAAAGAGGAGGTCCTGATGCTTTGGTGCCTCCTGCCTAGTGACAGGAGGGTGAAGATGCTGTTGCGGGGATTGGTGGAATTCTTCATAATGCTGAAGGCCTCGTGGGTGTACTGTGCTTCATAGATGTTCTCCATGGAGCTTTGCATTTCAAAGTAGTAATGATATGTTTTGGGCCACTTACATGACAGAAGAAATGCAAAAGACAAACTGACAGAGCACAAGCCTGACATGTTATTGCCTTATAAAGTTGTTATGGATGTGTTAACAAATGACAGACTTGTTTTTACTTGCTGCACACAAGTTTCTGTTTTGTTCCCCACTAACTCCTAAAACTGGCTTCTTAGCTGCTAGTTGTAAACTCTGCATGTCTACTGTTTGGTGCTGTGTTTTTTTTCTGTTCTTCATACGCTTTCTAGTAGTGTGGCTTCAGTATTGAAGACCTTGTATTGAAGAGCACTGCACTGTTGTTAAGACATGGCTGAACTAACACTGTGGCATCTTTGTTTAGTCATTCCTGGCAAACATCACAGTCTGAATGCTGCTATATCTCTGCCCTCTCCTCTGGCTGTTATTGTCATGGAAACCTGGTGAAAGGCACACAAAGCCTTTATGGAAAGTATTTGATTGGAGTGCATCTCAATGCTGCAATCTCAGAAGGTTTTGGAGTGTAGTTCCCATGGGAGCTACCATACAAGACAAAAGCAGGATGGTCTGAATCATGTATATGGCATTTAGGTTAATGTCCTTGTCTATACATCTTTTTCCATCGACTTGGGTTGTCTTTTTTGTGAGCCGTCATCTTTTCACAAGTGTTTTAGCATGTTCAAGTACACTTTGAAGGTGCTTGTAACTGCTGGCATTTGGGGTCTGTGCTCTGGAGTTTCTTGTTTGTTTTGTTTTTGCCACTGATTTATTACTAATGTGACCTGTCATTCTAGGAGGTGGAATATCAAAACCTGGTCAACAGCGTTACTTTAAGCATTTATCTGTGCCCCTCAACATGTTCTCATATGTCTTTCCCAACTTTTATCTGAGCCATTCTCTTGTCAAAAACAGCAACGGAACAGATGAGACCTGTTGGGACCTTATTTTGTTGGCCCGCTAACCTTTTTTTTTTTATATGAAAAATGTTTTATTTTTGAGTTAACATGTTTATGTCAGTGGTATTCACTCACACACACGTTTATCTTGACCCATTAATAAAACTGCTGAATCCTCCAGATACCCTCTGTTATTTCATGCTGCTTAGAGAGCGGAATTAGGGCTGTGTGTCTTTGTGTGTGTGCATTAGTGATCCAGTGTGCTTTCCTCTGTAGTAAAAGTATTTGTCCTCCAGAGCATGGGAAATCTGTGACATTAATCATAGCTGGAATCACAGGAGAGAGCTGAAGGCTGTTTAATGTGACCCACTGTTACTGTTACTCTATGTTCTCTGTCTGACAGTTTTAACCAAACATAATGCCCTATCTCTGACCATTGTGGATTTTTATTTATTTTATTTTATTTTATTTTTGGTGGTGGGGTACAGCTGTATATTTTTGGATTTGAGCTGTCAGGAGGTTGTTAGTAATTTGGGTGTCACAGCTCACAAAACGTTGGGCTAAAATTTACAAATTAGAAACACTGTGTAAAAGTTAAAACAGTCCACCTATATTCAAAGAGATGCAGGCCAGTAAGAGGGGAATTGTGAAGGATGAAGATGACAGGCAAGTGGAGATTGATGACCGGCGGGCAAAAGGTTTAAAGCTGGCAAGCAGGTGAAAAACAGGCAGAATGCACACAGGAAACATGACTGAAGTGCAACAGCTGGAATGGCAAAATACACAATCTGGCAGTAGACAAGTGGAAATGGGCCAATACATACTGTGTACTGTGGAACTAATGAGAGAATGAGGAACACATGCACAGGTGGGTGTGCGGGAGTCAGGAGATGGGGAATGGTGGGAAGGCAGTGTTTCCCACATTGGCAGTGGCTAGACTGAGGGAGCAATCATTCATTGTCAGAGTTTAGCATTCTAACATTAGCCACTTGCAAAGCAGTCAGTTGTCTAGCAGCTATTCAATATGCTAACATTGGCAACAAGCTGTAAGTTATTCAAACATTAGCTTAGCTATCCTTACTAGCTTGCTCATAAATTATTAGACGAGCTGATCTCCACAATTGACACAGAGAGGAGGAGCTGTTCATACACAGTACATTGTCTGTGTGTGTGTGTGTGGGTGTGTGTTCCTTCGTATTACTTACATCATGAGGACCGAAACCTGTTAACAAACTCACACTGTGGGGACTCGGCCATCCTTGTGGGGACCAGAAGCTAGTCCCCACAAAGAAATCACTGATTTTTAGGGTGGCAACATGGTTTAGGGTTAGGATGAGGTTAGGTGTTAGGCAAGTATGGTTATGGTTAAGGTTAGGATAAGTCTACAGGAAATGAATGTGAGTCAATGTAAAGTCCCCACAAGGAATGAAAACACAGCGTGTGTGTGTGTGTGTGTGTGTGTGTGAGAGAGAGAGAGAGAGAAAGCAAGGCATGGAGTGGCTGAGCGAATCAAAGCAGTACGTGCAGCTCTACAATGGAATAAGATTTTTACCAAATCTAAAGTCCCGATAAAATAGAACATCAAAAACAAGGTAAATTGTGTTTTAGTTCATTGATAATGGATGTCTCTTGGACAGACATGGCCAAATATACTTGAACAGCCATTAATATACCTGGATGACCTGTGTCCACTTTGGATCAGGCTAGCTCTCTCTCTCTCTAAACGCTGCGGCAGAGACACTGTTCTCCATTGTTTCAGATTTAATGTTAAATACAGCCACAACCCCCTCTCATTTACAGTAAACATGCCAGTTTCTGTTTTTACGCAAAATCAATGGTGGAAGAACTAGGAAGATTGCTTAGTTAAGTAAAAACAGCAAGTTTTTAAAATGTATTTATAGCACCATTTCTTTCTTTAGTTTTTTTTTTTACCTGTGTGATTTTGTGTGTTGTGTGTGATTGAATGAACTGTTTCAGGAACTGCACAGCACGTTTGCTGGTAGTTCTGTGTGCAATGACAATAAAGGTTATGTTATCTTATACTACAATGCAGAAATGCTCTTGTTACAAATAAGTCAAGTCAAGAATCTTTATTGTCATTATGCATAGCACAACGAAAAATTTTCCAGCAGCTCTTGGCTTAAAAGACAGACACATTATTTACATAACACACAATTGTATAAGTCAGTATAAAACTATGAGCAAATAAAAAGGGATTTATGGGTCCTAATCACGTCAGCAGCATGTTAGCAGCAAAAGAGTGTAGTAACATTATAAGGTGCAGCTCAGTCTTTAGGAAGAGGTGTGAGCATGGGTATGTGTCTGCAGGGTCCAGTGTTCTGTCTGTGTCTGTCCATAGGTGGGAGGTTGTGTGCATGTAACTAGGGGTTAAGGGGGTGATTGATTTCACAGCTCTGGGGAAGAAGCTGTGTCTCAGTCTGTTTGTTTTAGTCTTTATATATCTGTACCTTTTCCTGGAGGGAAGAGGCACAAACACGCTGTTGTCTGGGTGGGTGGGGTCTGCAGCAATCCGTCCGGCCCTCCTCTGGATTCGGTCAGTGTATAGTGAGTCCAGATCCAGAAGAGGACTCCCTAAAATGCCCTGAGCTGTTCTCACCACCCGGGTCAAGTCCTTTCTGTCCTGTGCAGTGCTGCTCCTGTACCACACTGTCACAATGAGACAGATGATGCTCTCTACTGTCACTCTGTAGAAGTATGCGAGCAACTGAAAGGAGAGACCAGCACGTTTCAGCTTCCTGAGGAAGAAAAGCCTTTGCTGGGCTTTCTTCACCAGGTAGGATGTTTTCAGAGACCAGGCCAGGTCAGATGTGATGTGGATGCCCAGGAACTTAATGTTATCCACTTGCTCCACCACCTCCCCGTGTATGAGAAGAGGAGCATGTATTGTCATCCTGGACCTCCTATAATCCACAATGGTGTTCAGTCTTGTTGTAGTTTAGGACAAGATTGTTATCTGAACACCACCTTGTCAGGTGCTGGATCTGGAAAGTTGATGAATCTGTAGAATCTAGGAAACACTGCTTTAAGTTCCACATGGTTAAAGCCTCCAGTAACAATTACAGCCGCTTCTGGGTTTGCATTCATTTGCCTGGTGATCAGACAGTACAGCTCCTCCAGTTCTAATTTAGCATTAGCTCACGGTGGTATATAGGTGGCTACAGTCAGGATTGAGCAAATCTCTCTCACTGTTTTAAAAGGTCTGCATTTCACTCCCAGATATTCCAAGTCGGGGGAGCAGTGTGTTCCAATGATGCTCATAGCTGTGCACCAGAAGTTGTGGATATACAGCGCCAGACCTCCGCCTCTTTGTTTAGCAGATGCTGTACTCCTGTCTACTCAAAACAAGGAGCGTCCCTCCAGCTCCACCGCAGCGTCGGGGATGTTGTTATCCAACCAGGTTTCAGTCCTGCATTTAAATATTAATTTAAAGTACAAAAGCATGAATTGTTTGCATCAGTCTTAAAGGGTTCGGTTACTTCCACTGTTGCAGAAAAGAAGTAAGTTAACCTATTACCTAATCCTTGAAAAAGGAAAGCAGCAGTTCTACTCTGAGGCCATTCCGGATGTCCAAACAACTGTGATCCAGGAGAATCCAGTGTTGCTCAGCTGATCATTCACTGCCCCAGGGTGCTTCACTAGTCAGCTGCTTGTAGGTTTTCAGCCGCAGGCAAGCCTGCATGAACGTGTACAACTAGCCAGGAGAATATGACCATTCAAAGAAATCTGTAAACTATTACATAAGACTTTAAATAGCTGGTCTGGCCAGCGAGAGTTCATGAGACTTGTATAAACCGAGTTGCTTCTGCATAGAAGTACAACAACATAGGTACACCTCGTTTATTGAACTTTCAGTCACATTTAAGATGATCATTTTTATTTTTCTGTTTTTATTCCTTCATTCCTATTATCTCATCTCAATGATCATTCCTTTGTCTATCTGCGTTGTTTACTGCCTGTTTATACTGCTTATTTTACATTGTTTGCCCTGGTTGTTGCTTGTTAATACTGTTTATTATTACACAGCCTTCTGCTGGTTTACTGTTTACTTGCCCCTTGCATGGGGATATGTACATACACATTGAGAGCCAATGTACCAGAGTCAAATTTCTCATGTGTCCGACACACCTGGCCAATAAAGCTGATTCTGATTCTGATTCATCAGCATGCCATGGGCTCTTTAATTTACATGCTAGTATGGAGAGGAACACTATACGTTTTTGGTAAATTTCTGCTGACTAGTATCTGTCAAACCTTTTACTCTTATACTGAAACAGAACAAAGGATCTTCCCTCAAAAAGACATCAACGAAATATAAAAAAGAGTGTCAGTCACAACTCTTTCTCACAACAAAGCAGCTGTCAACAATAAAATGCAGGGTTGTAGCTTTTCCCTCAACCCCTGCAGCACCAAATCACCATCAAAGCATTCTCCTGAGCAATATACAGTAACAGCAGACCCTCCAGGGAGTGTCTATCTTAAGCAAACCTTTCATGTGATCCTTAGATATTTTAATACAGTAAACTTAACACAAGCATTGACCCAGTGATCTCTAACCCGCTATATTTCATTTCCCACAGTTAAAGTCTTTTATGATGGAAAGATGCTGTTATATGTAATCGCTCCTCCGGGGATGAGAGAGCAAAAAACTTCCTCTTCCGCTAACTGTAAAAACAAACAAATCAGATAATCACTGACACGTGTCAGTATCTACAGATGCATTTAACTAGGGTTGTCCAAGTTTGGTTGGCCCTGATTTTGATCTGAGTCTTTTAATACTGGATTTCACTAATACCTGTACCAAGTCTGGTGTATGTGACACATTAAATTGCCAAATTTGGTGGTTTAAAATTTTCCAAATTTTCGATCCAAATGTTGAAGATTCTGGTTCAAAGCTATAACATGCTCTGGCAATGTTAGTGCACTGGTTAATGCTGGTAGAACTGAGAAGTTGCTGAATAGTTAGCACATGGCTCTGTGCTAATGAGAAAGGAGAGCACCGACAATGGATATACTGTATAAACCTCAGAGCTGGGTGGCAGAACAGAGATTGGCACATTTGTTAGGCCTTAGGTACGTATGGAGACAATTAGGTGAGAAATGTAAACACAACTGGTTTTGCTTACCAAAAACTCCACACTTTTAGTTTCTTGGTGAAGTAGGTAGCTTAATATTAACTAACACAACCCATTCTTGCTCTTTAACATGGTGAATAAGCAGAGATGCAAACAGGGAGTGCATTAACTTACAGAGTCCAAAATAGAATACCAACAGTTTAACGCTGCTGTCAGGACTATTCCAGACTGAAAAAGGAAAATTAGAATACTCCACTACCATAACATGAGACATACAGTATCATGTGTGAGCAGTAACAGTAGAATAGTGAAGTTATGGTCCCTGAACCCTCAGTCATCTGTCCATTCAGACCACCCAGAAGAGCTTTACGTCCTGCAAGGAGGAGACTGTAGTCTTCATTTCAGATCTAGGACAAAACACACTGGTTCAATAGCATAATTTCAGCTGTTGTCAGTCAGTGAATCTAGGTAACAAGGCCACACTGGTGTTTGCTAGGCAACTGCAGAACAAGGACATGCAAGTTCACAACTTGCAGCTTTGACAGGAGGGAAAGAAGTGAAGCATTTTGCATGTAGCATCATTAGCTAGATCATTTAACATAAGAGGATATGAAGCTGTTAATTGAAGTAGTTTATCATCAAAATATTAAATTAATCTGCTACAATGTTGATAATCAATTTTTTGTTATAGTCGTTAGCAAATGTTTTATGGTTTTGGTTATGGTCTTATACTTGTATAGCGCTTTTCTATGCATTGCAGCCCACTCAAAGCACTTACACTATTTGGCCATTCACACTTCCAAGCACTTACACACCCTTGTCATCAACAGCATCAATTGGGGGTTCAGTGTCTTGCTCAAGGACACTTCGACATGTGGACTGGACAAGCTGGGAATCAAATCACTAGTCTTCTGGTTATGAGACGACCCGCTCTACCTCCTGAGCCACAGCCGCCCCTGTTTTCTTTTATGTTTTTGTTCAAAACATAAACATTTTGGTGTTCTTCATCACCAAAACACACAGTGTGTATTATTGAAGTCTAACAAAATGTTAAATAAATGTTCTTCATCATATTGCCGTGACCTTTGTTGATAAAAATGGAAAACTCAAACCCATTCTTCACCATTTGAAACGGTAGCGTTCCCATCCCACCAAGTTCAGAGAAAGCCAATGTTTGCACTCGTGTAAAAGCCTCCTCTGGAAAGGGTAGGTCAAGACCCCAGCAGCAGTCACTCTGTTGGCCTTTTCAGTCATTACCCCCTTAGGATAAACGCCCAAAAGAGAGCAGTGACCCACTCATATTTTATGCAGAAAAAACTTGTGCCAGTTAAATTGATGAAAGAATCCAGGATACATACTGTAACTTAACACAATTGGTTGACTCTGTGTATAAACAACCAAGGATGGAAACTTTTAGAATGCAGGGGAAAAGTGGAAGAACAGCTTTACACAATTTAGCTCACTACTGACATGCTGCACGGCAGTTTTACATGAACATAAGGAGCATAAATGCTAGACCACATTGGATGCAGAGAGTATTGAGCTGTTTGTTTCGAACCATAGTAAACTTTGTGATTTATGTAGGATTATCCCAGTGAACTTAAAAGGTACCCTTTGGAGTTTTCTCATAAACAGTGTTGACATTCCGTATTTGTCACCATAACACTTTCTGTGTATCCTTGAGGTCTGCCTAACATGTTCAGTGTGTTTCCTTCCTCAGTAATGTTATTAAATGTATTTATTTATACTTATGGATATTGATCAGTATGAAAAAATGCTGTTATAACGTTTTTGTCCGTATCACCCAGCCCTGTGCTGTATGTATTTTTATGATAAACTAACCAAAACTGGCCTGCTTGTGATTTTCACTCGCGTATTGTGAACCATGTTAACATAAACATTCAAAATACTCAAACCCATTAAAATATACAATTCATATAGCAAATAGGGTTATTAAGAAGAATTTGGATGGAGCTGCCTGCTCATGTCAGAGGTTTACAACCCGTCATCCTGGCTGAAGGATGGCAGGTTAAGAGCGTGGGCTTTACTGACAACCAATGTCATGTCATGATCCCCTGGTTTACTGCAGTATGTTACTTGTTTTAGGTGCAGGGGAGGTAGAGGAGAAAGGGAAGCAAGGCATTGCAGTTAACATCTAAATATCTAAACGACATGTCCTTATCTAAATTAAGTACAGTAATAAAGAATTGTTGCTTTCTCCTTGTCCCCTACTTTCCCAGTTGGTGATAAGGTTGCTGCTGACATCAGGCTGACGTCTATTTTTTTGAGGGTTGACCAGTCCATTCTGACAGGGGAGTCTGTGTCAGTGCTCAAACACACAGACCCCGTACCAGACCCCAGAGCTGTCAACCAGGACAAGAAGAACATGCTCTTCTCTGTGAGTCTGTTGTATCTGTCATTATAAACACACAACCAGGTAAAACATTAAAGAGGAATTGGGCTGCCAAGTTAACTACTGTCTAAAGTGTCTCAATGTTTACGCTAAACGTGAAGGAGAAGGTTGGTGATATTCTCTGTTTATTGTACCCGGTAGTTAATTTTGACTCAGTCCCACATAACACCATTCTGCTGCACAAGTATTCATTACAGTATGTGGATTAATCTTCCACTAAAGATAGTCCTCAGCAAATGCACTATTTCTTACTGTTGTGTAACATTTAATAAAAAGTACACTGGCTCCATGATTTAGAAAAAAAACAGCTTTTTAAAAATGAAACTATATACACTTGTGAGCTGTGTTTAAAGATTTACATCTTCAGTAAGAACCAGTAGACTTGGGGATGAGGGCCACAGATAACTTAGGGATGTCACATTGTTGTTTGGGGCTTTTCATGAGATTGACAATAAGAAAAACAAAGACTAAAGGTACTGTAGTCGTATCCTTTAAGGACTACAGAACTGTTTGTTCTTAGTTTACATCTCTATCAAAATGTTGTCATCCATTCTATCAACATTTATTTCAGTGTCTCCATACCTCAGATAGTTTGGTTTTTCCAGCAGAGTGTACTGTTGCTCAAGGTAATGTTTTCCTATTCAGTGCCCTAACAGCTACTCTAACGTACATGATGCATTTGGGTAATAAATTTAGAATGTATCCAAGCATAACCATCACTGTAATTATCATTTTATTTTTTTATGTAATAAAATGGTGGAATGCCATGACAAACATCATTCCAACATATGCAGTTTAAGATTTGTTCAGTGAGAGAAAAAATCTGAAGAATATGACTCTAAAGTTATGAAATTAAACATATGAAATACACACTGTGAAATGTTAAAGGGTGCTCTCAATGTCAAGAATATGATTCTACAAAGAAGCCTGCAGTATATGTAATATTACTGTACACACATGGCATATTCACATAAGCAGAAGTTTTGTGAAGGAAAATGACAGGATTTGATGGTTGAGATGTGTGTTGTATTATCTCTGTCAGACGTCAAAGCCTGCAGACCAGGTGGTTCATGGTCAAAACAGCCACTGATGTTTTATTTAGCACCATCACTGTGACAGGCTGCAGACCTGCAGGGTGTCTTTGTTGGTGTGGTTATAAGAGTACTGTTGGACTGAGTAGGACTCCACACAGGTGTGAAGGAAACACATCAGATCCTGGTATTAAAGGAGATAAAGAACTCGGCTCACTGAGATATTAGGATTCACTGTGTTTTATGTGAGAATGGACAAAATAAACAGCATTATACTCACCACCTTTTTAACTGCCACTGCTGACATTTCAGAACTGTGTTACAGTGTCAAATATTTATAAAGATGATAAAGTACAACAATGAAGTTATTCCTGTAATGACCTTTGCCCAGGGTACCAACATTGCAGCAGGGCGAGCCATCGGGGTTGTCGTGGCAACAGGGGTGCAGACAGAGATTGGGAAGATCCGAGATGAGATGGCATCTACTGACCCTGAAAGGACCCCACTACAACAGAAACTAGACCAGTTTGGAGAACAGCTGTCAAAGGCAAGCCTGCAATGTTGCAATGTTGTGTATTTTAGTGTTGAAGTGTCAGACTCTGATATAAACTTTGGATTTGTTCTTTTTTATGACATTGTATAAAGTAATTTGTATAATCTAATGAATGAACATATGTCTAAGTAATTTGTTATTTAACTTTTGTCCTGCTGTAACCCTGTAGGTCATCAGTGTGATCTGTGTGGCAGTGTGGGCTATCAATGTGGGACATTTCAATGACCCGGTGCATGGAGGCAGCTGGCTGAGAGGAGCTGTTTACTATTTCAAGATCGCTGTCGCACTGGCTGTAGCTGCCATACCAGAAGGTCAAACATGCACTGATGTAGATAACCACATACAAAAGTGTATTCCCTATGTTTTTTTGTATGTACAAGGTCAAATTTCATTTTTAACGCCAACAAAGTGGCAAACATTTGGTCACGAAACAGTTCACTAACTTTGTCCACTCACTCTGAGTAACCTTAGATGTATCCTTGAGCAAGATACATAAAACCCCAAGTCAGAAAAAGTTGGGGCAGTGTGTAAAATCAAACTTTAAACTGAGAATAGTGATGCATAAATCATCTGTGTCCTGTATGACATTGAAAACAACACAGCAGCACATTATTTGATGTGATACCTCATCAGTTTTATTCTTTGGTCAAAATAAACACTCACTTCAATTCTGGTGCTGCAACACATTCTAAAAAATTTGGGACAGTAAAACATTTACCACTGTGTGATGCTGCTGTTCCTTTTCACAACTCTTAAAAGACGTTTAGGGACTGAGGACACCAAGTGATGAAGTGTGTCAGGTGTCATTTTGTCCCATTCTTCCTGCAAACAAGTCTTAAGCTGCACAACAGTTCTTCATTGACACATATGTTGGCAAACTGGCGGTCCTCGGCCCATCTTGGCTCCTAAAGGGCTCGGCCTTTCCCGGATGCCTGCTGACATCACCTTTTCTAATGGATTTAATTTTGCTTTTGCATACTGTCCCAACTTTTTCTGATTTGGGGTTATAAAATAAACTGCTCTAGTGGAGAAACTCAATAGTCTGTCTCTTACAAAACCATGTTTTCTTATCACCATCATCTATCTGTTGCATTTTCCTCCCAGGCCTCCCGGCAGTCATCACTACCTGTCTGGCACTGGGAACAAGGAGGATGGCCAGGAAGAATGCAATTGTCCGCAGCCTGCCGTCAGTGGAGACGCTGGGTTGTACCTCTGTTATTTGCTCTGACAAAACAGGAACACTGACCACCAACCAGATGTCAGTCTGCAGGGTAAGATGATGGAGAAATGAGACTGATAAATATGAGACTAGTACCCACCTTATGCCAGATTTGCTCTGTGACCAAGTCAACCTTGTTTTAGCTCTTATATGACAGGTATGAGACTGTTACTGATTACGTAGATAGTTTGCTAGTCCAAATTAAAAACTAACAGCTTGTCATACTAATGTTAGATTAACAGAAGGTTATGCTCACTTACATTGAGTCTAACAAATATAAACTGTATGTACCATAAATTCTCCATATCCTGTAAGCCAGTGTTCAAGTAATGGCTGAGTTTCAAGCATTGCACAAAAACATAAATATAGCTGCAGATAGGTTAAAACAAAACCTCAGCCAGGTTGATATTACATTTGACTTTTTAAAACAGCTTATTTAACAGATTTTTAACATTAAGAGCCTATTAAGAAAGTCACTTTCGGCTTTTTCCCATTTAGGGGTCGCCACAGCAAATCGTCACACTGACGACTCGCATGTTGACATTTGGCACGTGTTTTACGCCGGATGCCTTTCCTGACATAACCCTGATTCGAACCTAGGCCGCAGAGGCGAGAGCGCTGCGCTTTAACCACTAGCCTACCAGGGACGGCTAACATTAAGAGCCTATTATAAATAAATAATAGTCTCAGTTGTTCAGGTGTTTAGTTTAATACGCAGTGGCTTCATTCAGAAAAAAAAAAACAAAAGTGAAAGGACTGCAGTTGATTGGTGAATAAAAATAAAAAATTTTATTAGTATAAGAGTGAGTGGTGACTATGATGTGTGACTTGCTGTACTGATAGAATTAGTGCTGTAGAAATGTACATAATTCTACATTTAGGACAGAAGGAGGAAGAAGTGCTGTATTTGTGTTCACTGGGAAACAGGAGAATTTATAAGCCTCTTCTAAACAAAGGTCTGGTATTGAGGTAGATAATACAATACTTGAGAGTTTGTAGTGATATACAGTATATAAAGTAAACAAATTGATGTCATATGAAAATGTAGTCATTTCTTTGGGGGAGGTGAAATTCATTTTCTAACACTGGTTGTGGCCTTTATCATAGCCAAAAATATTTGCACCCCTGCATTTCTATCAGATATCACTCAACTTCTGATCACAAATTCTTTAGTATTCTCATCTTCTTTTCTTTTGTTTGCATTGGAACAACACACAAAAAAGCCAAATCTGATACACTCCACACAGAACTCCAAAAATGGACTGACAGAATTATTGACACTTTTTAAAAATCATCAGAATTTGTAATAAACTCACATGTAGCAGTCAGTAGGTGTTGGCAATATAGAAATCACACCAGTTAAAATGGAGAAAAGTTGACTCAACCTTTGTGTCGTGTTGGCCACACTGAGGACGGAGAAAAGAGAAGAACAAAGAACTGTCTGAGGATTTGAGAATCACAGTAGTGGAAAAACGTTGACAGTCTCAAGGTTCCAAGTCCATCTCCAGAGATCTGGCTGTTCCTGTGACCACTGTGCACGACATTATCAAGAGGTTTACAGCCCATGGTGCTGTAGCTAATCTCCCTGGACGTTGACAAAAGAGAAAAATGGATGACAGATTGCAAAGAAAGATTGTTTGAATGGTGGATAAAGAACCTCGATCAACTTCCAAACAAATTCAAGCTGACCTACAGGCACGGGATGCAACAGTGTCAGCTCGCATCTGTCACTATCTGAATGACATGGGACGCTATGATAGGAGACCAGGGAAACCCACTGGTGACACAGAGACATAAAGGAGCCAGAACTTAACTGAGGAAGCAACAGTCCTTCTGGGAGAATGTCCTGTGGACAGATGACACTAAAATAGAGCTTTTTGGTCGAGCACATCATTCTACTGTTTTCAGAAAATGAAAGTAGGCCTTCAAAGAAAAGAACATGGTCCCTACAGTCAAACATGGTGGAGGTTCACTGATGTTTTGTGGTTGCTTTGCTGCTTCAGGCACTGGATGTCTTGATTGTGTGTATGGCATTATGAAATCTGAAGGCTACTAGTGAATTCTGGGGCACAATGTAGGGCCACTGTCAGAGGTCATGGGTCTTACAGCAGGACAATGAGCCAAAGCAGATTTCAAAAAGCACCAGAAACGGTTTCAATGAGCTGGAGAGTTCTGAAGTGGCCAGCAATGAGTCCACTGAGAATCTGTGGAGAGATAACAGAATACCAGCCGGGGGGAAGGAACCCTTCAGATCTGAGAGACCTGGAACAGTTGGCAAAAGAAGAGTGGTCCAAAATGCCAGTAGAGAGGTGGAAGAAACTGATGGTTACAGGAAGTGATTTAGTTCAGTTATTTTGTCCAAAAGGTGTGCTACCAAATATTATTAAGTTGAGGGTGTTGATAATTTTGTCCAGTCTATTTTTGGAGTTCTGTGTGGAATGGATCAGATTGGGCTTTTTTCTCATGCTTATTTCTTTTGTTTTCATTGGAACAACACAAAAAAAAAACTGACTCAGGGAGTAGTGGTGTGTTATCTGATGGAAATGCAGGGGTGCCAATATTTTGGCCATGACTGTAGCTCAGGAACTGAGAGAATCATGCCTGTTTTGAGTCAAGATTATATTAGAGACAAGCCTTTATTCCTAATATCCCATTTTTTCATTATATTGTGATAAGAAGGTATAGGTATACAGTCACACATATGGTAACAACAACACAACCTTGTTTTTCCCCCCTCCCCTTTATAGGTAATGGATAATTGATGGCTAGATGTTGTGTTCATCACATGTAATGCTGCAGCTCGTAAAGGGGGATTTAATTTTGATAACCTTAGATACTTATAATTTCATGTATTTCACATACTGATGGGTACCAGTATGTAAAGTAGTACTTAGCTTTGATGCTCTTCAGGACCAGTTAGCTTAACTGTTTTTAAGCTTTATTAGCAGCTCAGTGGGCAACGGACAGAAATCATTTGACACACAGTAAGAGCCAAAAATAGTGCTCTTCCGTTTTTTTTAGTGAATCAGATCATTTTGGAATCCAAAGTCATTCTGAATTGAATCATGAGTTTGCCACAGATTCCCAATCCTAAAGTTTTAAGTTCAGTCTTTTCCAGTTTTAATTTGCCATGTATGCAAACTCACCGCTTCCTCCATGTTATACTGGAAAATTTGTGTAATGTGTATTTCAGCAGTAATAATTCCATTAGTACAACAACAGAGCCATACTCTGCTGCCCTGAGCTTATCTTTTTACATGAATATCATTTTTATTCACTAAAACATTCCAGATTGCTATTATTGTGTTGTTTATTTGATGTTAGGACATAGTCATTGAACTCTAAACATCCTGTACCGATATTTCACTTTTGCAGTGGCTCAGTAGCCATAATCCCTTATGTTCCTGGTACACGTTTAATGTGAATCATTTGTAGGAAATGAAACAGTCAAAATGATTTGTGAAAAAACTGTGTTTAAAAAAAGAGAGCGGCAGTAGCGAGTGGGACATGCAGAATTAATGCTGTAGAAATGTAGATTCAACTGAATTCACCCACTTGGTTCAGTGTTTGCTACCTGCTCTTTATTTACTACCAGCCTTGACCATAACTTATTTGAAGATTTATTTTAGACTTTACACTCAGAAAAATCAACACTGGAAAACCATCAGTGGTGAGAAGTGTTATCAGTATAGCACAATGTTCGTACTGTGAGGGTTACTCACGCTTCGTGCATATGCATGTCTGCTAGGGTCCAGTGACATAAATTCTGTAATCTTCCCAAAAATGTACATGAATGGAGGGACTGTGCGCATGTACCACAATGCATGAAAAACATCAGCGTAGACAGACAGAGGGTGAACACTCAGTTCCTCGGGTCCTCGTCCGTGTTGGTGTCTGCATAAGAGTAATCATTTAGTCATGAATAAATGCATTCATTTCATCATTTTGTATGGCCTGTTAGAATGTGAAACTAACCTCAGCTGATGTCCTAACATTACTGAACTAATCAACTACTGCAATGTCTGCATGTGTGTGTTTAGATTGTTATAGTGGACAGTGTGTCGAAGGAGCGCTGCAGCCTGAGCGAGTTCACAGTGACTGGATCTACTTACGCTCCTGAAGGGGAAGTGTGAGTGTCTTTAACCTTTAACCCTTAACCCCTGGCAGTTTATGGAATATGGATGGCTATGGCATATGAATGCCAACACTTAAAACCTTACAACTGATGTCTCCTTTTATGTCACAACCTGTGTGCATTCTCTTCACGTCTCAATGGCTGTGCTTTGTTTGTTGTGATTTGTCCCCCACCTGTCCCTCTGTCCTTCTCTTTCTCCAGTTACAAGGATGGCTTAGTAGTGAAGTGCAGTCAGTATGAAGGCCTGGTGGAGATGGCCACCATCTGTGCACTCTGCAATGACTCATCACTGGACTACAATGAGGTAAGAAATGCAAACAGGACAGCAACGCCGGCTGAGACCATCGTAGATGACCATATATGGCTCTGGAACACTTACAACTGGAATCTGATTGTGAATGTGTGTTAGCACAGTACAGTCTTAAACTGGTTTGTAAAGAGGGTCATTAACAGCATACAGTACTTTAGCTTGTTTACCTTACTGTCTGTGTGTGTGTTCCAGGCAAAGGGTGTGTATGAGAAGGTCGGGGAGGCAACAGAGACTGCCCTCTGTTGTCTGGTGGAGAAAATGAACGTGTTTGACACCGACCTTAGAGACCTGAGCCCTCCTGAGAGAGCTACAGCCTGCTGCTCTGTAAGTGTGTGTCTGTGTATGTGTGAGAGAAAGAGAGAGAGTGAGTGAAAGAGAGGCTTAAAGTTAAAAAAAAAGTGTTGATGCTTATTCCCTTTAGCCTCTGCATTTGTTATACAGGACTTGTGGAAAGCTTATCCATGCTTTGTCTTCTTCCTTTTGTCTTCCTACCACTGAGACCATTAAACTGTACTGGCTGATGACCAGTGAAGACTAGTTTCACATTTTGTAGGCTTGGTTTCAGTGAACAGTGTGTGTTTAGTCCTTTCTGTTTTTATTTCTGTTTTCCTGCTCATAAAGCTCACACAGATGTACAAAAGATTAAGTTTCTATACCATATTTGTCTTTTTATTGGTTGTGTTTAGGTGATTAAGCAGCTGATGAGGAAGGAGCTGACACTAGAGTTCTCCAGAGACAGGAAATCCATGTCTGTCTTCTGTTCATCTAATAAACTCACCAGGTCTGCCTCTGGAGTCAAGATGTTTGTCAAGGTTCGTTGCACACCATTCACTATGATCCATTTGGTTTTGTACTGTATCTTGTGGTCATTCGGAGACTGTTGTGTTCCCATGTGTCTAATCTGCAGGGTGCTCCAGAGAGTGTGCTGGAGCGCTGTAATTATATCCGGGTTGGTGGTTCTGCTCGTGTGCCTTTGAGCCCAGCAGTTCGAGATCAGCTCCTGTCCACTGTGCGGGAGTGGGGGTCTGGCCGAGACATGCTCCGTTGCCTCGCCATGGCAACCAGGGACACTGCCCCTGACATCCATAGCCTCAACCTGGAAAACACAGCTGCCTTTGCTAACTATGAGGTGATGATGAAGACAGTGATAACGATGAAATTACTTTTTTAAAAAGGCTTATGGCCCATGGAGCTCCATCTCTAATATAACATTTTGGAAAAACCCCTTTTCAATATGTTTTTTCATAAAAGTTGAAACGAAATTGAAACCACCCCTCTTGTCTTTCTAAATAAAGAAATGCACTGTCATTGATCCCTTTTAAAGAACATAGAGAAGCTAAACTAGTCCTCCATGTCCTCCCTCTGCCCAGTCGGACCTGACCTTTGTGGGCTGTGTGGGCATGTTGGATCCCCCAAGGAAAGAGGTGCTCGGTGCAGTCCGAATGTGTCGGCAGGCTGGCATACGAGTCATCATGATCACAGGTCCAAATGTGCATGAAATGTGTGCCAGAACACCTTTATTATACATGTCCCAACCTACACAGATAATTATACTCCCAGCAATATACCGCATTTTATAGTAATTGTAATTTTTTTCCAGTGTGTTGTTGCAAATAAATTGCTATTATTTTGTATTAATTAAACTCTGGGTCTGTGTCCAAGCACTGATGTAACAACTCGTCACTGTTATTTTTCTCTTCAGGTGACAACAAAGGGACAGCCCTGTCTATCTGTCGAAGGGTGGGCATCATCACGGAGCAGGAAGAGGAGCAGGAGGGCACAGGAGTCATTGGGGGCCTAACCGGGCGGGAATTTGACGAGCTGCCCCCCCACCTGCAGCGTCAGGCCTGCCAGACGGCACGCTGCTTTGCCCGGGTAGAACCAGCACACAAGAGCCGTATAGTGGAGTACCTGCAGAGCCTGGGTGACATCACTGCCATGGTTAGTGTGTGACCTACATGAAGCAGCAGCATCATCATGTGTCGACAACCAGCCCTGTGGTATCCCTAAACTATCTTCCTCCATCCTTTTTCATGGGTTCAGACAGGTGACGGGGTGAATGATGCACCAGCGCTGAAGAAGGCAGAGATTGGCATCGCTATGGGCAGCGGCACGGCAGTGGCCAAGTCAGCTTCTGAGATGATCTTGGCTGATGACAACTTCTCCACCATTGTGGCCGCTGTGGAGGAGGGCAGAGCCATTTACAACAACATGAAACAGTTCATTAGATACCTGATATCATCCAACATAGGAGAGGTGGTCTGGTTAGTAGGAAACAAACACTGATACAAGGGGATGCAGAAAATGAGTCCAGAAATCATGGACACAATCGAACAATCTCGATCTCTCAGCATTTCCTTCTCTTCCTTTCTTCCTCAGTATTTTCCTGACAGCTGCACTCGGCATGCCTGAAGCGTTGATCCCAGTCCAACTACTATGGGTCAACTTAGTCACTGATGGTTTCCCAGCGACAGCTCTAGGATTCAACCCTCCAGACCTGGACATTATGTCCCGCCCTCCTCGCTCCCCCAAAGAGCCCCTGATCTCCAGCTGGTTGTTCTGTCGCTACCTCATCATTGGATGTGAGTCATGAGCCTGGAACTAAAAGTTTCCAGATTATGTTTTCACTTTTAGAGCATCTTACTTACTAGAATACACTACACAGACTCTGTGGGTTACAAAACTAACTGCTGCTTGCAATCTTTCTCTGCAGGTTATGTGGGAGCAGCCACTGTAGGAGCCGCAGCCTGGTGGTTTATGGCAGCCCATGACGGTCCGAAACTTTCCTTCTATCAACTGGTAAACACACATCTTCTGATCACTACACCTCTGCCATGCTAATACTCTGTGGCATTACATTATTTGCTGTAGTGCAACATATTTACTGTGGCAGTAACACAACTGAAACCTTCTTGTGATCATAAACATGGTATTACATGCATAAATACAGTAGTAAAAAAAAAATCACATCAAATTACACTGGCAAAAAAGTTATAAAAGTGTTAAAAATAAGGCAATAAAACTAAGGTAACAACGTGTTTATACTTGTTACGAATTATATTAACAACTGCTTAAACTGTATTATACAGAGTGTCTGTGGGGTCTTAAAATGTGTTAAAAGGCCATTTAAAAGTATTACCCAATTGCTACTTTAACAGGTACTACATTTTGTAACTATTTTTACATGTGAATAGCCTTGTGCAAAGAGTTTGTATGCTAAAGGTTTGTGTGAATGTATTTATTTTGCTTAGCTGTGTAGATGGTGCAGATGCAGTGTCATTGACCTGTGTCTGGTGGAATCCAGGCTAAATTTAATGTCCTCTGAAAAGGTCAAACATACAGTGGGTACGGAAAGTATTCAGACCCCCTTAAATTTTTCACTCTTTGTTATATTGCAGCCATATGCTAAAATCATTTAAGTTCATTTTTTCCCTCATTAATGTACACACAGCACCCCATATTGACAGAAAAACACAGAATTTTTGACATTTTTGCAGATTTATTAAAAAAGAAAAACTGAAATATCACATGGTCATAAGTATTCAGACCCTTTGCTGTGACACTCATATATTTAACTTAGGTGCTGTCCATTTCTTCTGATCATCCCTGAGATGGTTCTACACCTTCATTTGAGTCCAGCGGTGTTTGATTATACTGATTGGACGTGATTAGGAAAGCCACACACCTGTCTATATAAGACCCTACAGCTCACACTGCATGTCAGAGCAAATGAGAATCATGAGGTCAAAGGAACTGCCTGAAGAGCTCACAGACAGAATTGTGGCAAGGCACAGATCTGGCCAAGGTTACAAAAAAAAATTTCTGCTGCACTTAAGGTTCCTAAGAGCACAGTGGCCTCCATAATCCTTAAATGGAAGACGTTTGGGACGACCAGAACCCTTCCTAGAGCTGGCCGTCCGGCCAAACTGAGCTATCGGGGGAGAAGAGCCTTGGTGAGAGAGGTACAGAAGAACCCAAAGATGACTGTGGCTGAGCTCCAGAGATGCAGTCGGGCGATGGGAGAAAGTTGTAGAAAGTCAACCATCACTGCAGCCCTCCACCAGTCAGGGCTTTATGGCAGAGGGTCCCGACGGAAGCCTGTCCTCAGTGCAAGACACATGAAAGCCCGCATGGAGTTTGCTAAAAAACAGCTGAAGGACTCCAAGATGGTGAGAAATAAGATTCTCTGGTCTGATGAGACCAAGATAGAACTTTTTGGCCTTAATTCTAAGTGGTATGTGTGGAGAAAACCAGGCACTGCTCATCACCTGTCCAATACAGTCCCAACAGTGAAGCATGGTGGTGGCAGCATCATGCTATGGGGGTGTTTTTCAGCTGCAGGGACAGGACGACTGGTTGCAATCGAGGGAAGGATGAATGCGGCCAAGTACAGGGATATCCTGGACGAAAACCTTCTCCAGAGTGCTCAGGACCTCAGACTGGGCCGAAGGTTCACCTTCCAACAAGACAATGGCCCTAAGCACACAGCTAAAATAACGAAGGAGTGGCTTCACAACAACTCTGTGACTGTTCTTGAATGGCCCAGCCAGAGCCCTGATTTAAACCCAATTGAGCATCTCTGGAGAGACCTGAAAATGGCTGTCCACCAACGTTTACCATCCAACCTGACAGAACTGGAGAGGATCTGCAAGGAGGAATGGCAGAGGATCCCCAAATGCAGGTGTGAAAAACTTGTTGCATCATTCCTAAAAAGACTCATGGCTGTATTAGCTCAAAAGGGTGCTTCTACTAAATACTGAGCAAAGGGTCTGAATACTTATGACCATGTGATATTTCAGTTTTTCTTTTTTAATAAATCTGCAAAAATGTCAAATTCTGTGTTTTTCTGTCAATATGGGGTGCTGTGTGTACATTAATGAGGAAAAAAATGAACTTAAATGATTTTAGCATATGGCTGCAATATAACAAAGAGTGAAAAATTTAAGGGGGTCTGAATACTTTCCGTACCCACTGTATAGTGCGGTCACAGACCAGATTGTTGTCAGTTTAACAATGTGTTAAGCTTACTTTACATAAACTAACAAATGTAATGGGGAAAAGTTCACAGACAAGTAGTTTATCACTGGGAACAACTGGTAGGGACATTAGAGAAAGCAATAACTTGATCCTCGATTGTGATCTACTCTGTCCAGACCCATGTATACAGTGCTACTCACAAATCTATTGTGAGATGCAGACAGCAGTTGTCTTATCACAAATGGCTGTGCTAAACCAGCTACACCATTTCTCTGTACCACCACTGATGCTACTATGATGGTCAACACTTGGCGATGGGTGCCACACCAGATGGTCTGTGGTGTCTCAACATGGTGGTGAAACACCACTCTGTCACTTCCAGCAAAGAAATTTCAATCAATGTAGAGTAAATATACTGTATGTTAAAGTTATTTTGCTGATGTAACCGGTTATAGCTTGAAGTGGCATCGAGGTCTTAAAATATAGTTTGAATGCAGCCAACAGAAGAAATTCCACCCTTTCATTCTGATTTCTCTCCAAAGCCACTCCTCCAAAACACAATGTACACCGCAACATGCATTGCCTGACTACTACTGATTTCAGGAATATAACAAATGCCCCCAAACAAAACAAAAGCGTTAATTACCTGTCCAGCAGAAATCCGGCCACCGCAGTGTTACTTTTCAGCCCTTTTTGTTCTCAGTCGTTGCCATCATTCAGCAGCCATACCAATGTTAATTCTGGCTTTATTTCTTGCAGCATCCAAATTCTTTTTAGTTGTAACTTTCTCGAATGCAGTGTTACCCGCCCAGATCCACAGCCCCGAACCGTAGTCGGAGACCTCTGGTTCATGGCTAAACTGCTTTAGTTCTGGCTCATAGCTGGTAACTAGCCTTAGAAGGCCAGGCTTTTCTGGCAGGGAGAAGTGAAGAAGGAGGCCACAAAACACAGGCTTTATTCTGTCTTGGTACCACAAACACTGCATGTGTCCTTTGGTGCCCAGTTAACTGCTTTACACTAGTGTCTATACACTTAGAGCTGACTACTGTCTGGCTGCATGGAAAAGGAGTCTATTCACTGTGGCGGTCTTCTCACTCTCATACTGCTCACATTGCAGGTAACAACTTCTGGCAACAACATCACCTATAAGGCTGCCTTAAAAGGGAAGGCCTGGCCTGTAACAGTGCTCTCTGTTTGTGACCGAAGGCTGCTGTGGGACCTTATCTGCCATAGTTCGCCAGCTTTAGCTATCAAAACAGAATCACTAACGAGTCTGCAAAAGACCTGAGACTGGGACGGAGATTTGTCTTCCAACAAGACAATGATCCAAAACATAAAGCAAAATCTACAATGGAATGGTTCACAAATAAACATATCTAGGTGTTAGAATGGCCAAGTCAAAGTCCAGACCTGAATCCAATCGAGAATCTGTGGAAAACTGCTGTTCACAAACGCTCTCCATCCAACCTCACTGAGCTCGAGCTGTTTTGCAAGGAGGCATGGGCAAAAATTTCAGTCTCTCGATGTGCAAAACTGATAGAGACATACCCCAAGTGACTTACAGCTGTAATCGCAGCAAAAGGTGGCGCTACAACGTATTAACTTAAGGGGGTTGAATAATTTTGCACGCCCAATTTTTCAGTTTTTTTATTTGTTAAAAAAGTTTGACATATCCAATAAATTTCGTTCCACTTCATGATTGTGTCCCACTTGTTGTTGATTCTTCACAAAAAATTACAGTTTTATATCTTTATGTTTGAAGCCTGAAATGTGGCAAAAGGTCGCAAAGTTCAAGGGGGCCGAATACTTTCGCAAGGCACTGTATATACCCTGTTATTGGTCCGACCTATTGAAGCTCAGTGATCTATTTCACTTCCATTGTCACCACAATACCTGGGCTTTGAGATAGTTAGGCAGGAGACGAGCAATAATAAAGTAAAAAATATTGACTGTATTAAAATAAAACAGGGTATAAGAGTTAAAATATAAAACAGGATGGTACAATTATTAATGCATATTGTAAGGATCTGTATTAGGAAGGTGTGTTTGAGTGACATCCCAAAGCTACATAACAAAAAACTGTGATCAAGATATAACTGAGTGGGACATTTTACATCTAAGTAAATTTGTCACTGCTTTTTGGTGGACACGCTCTGTAACACAAATGCTGTTTCAGAATCACCTCAGATAATTTCTGCACTAACATTTTTTTTTTTTACTTATTGGTCCACATCTAAGCCAATAGTGATAGATCTGTGATAAACTATTGCACTAACAGTAATATTGTCTATATTGATGTATCAGTCAGACACTAGTAAAGAGATGTAGACCTGCAGGACAGTAACTAAGGAAGAGGACCATGGCATTAGAATACTTTGGCCAGGTAAGTAAGTGGTGAGTACACTAGGAAGGTGCCAGGAGTGTTATTTACACTTGTTTCCTCCACAGTCCCACTACCTCCAGTGCAGGGAAGGCCACGCTGAGTTTGCTGGTGTGCAGTGTTCTGTCTTTGAGTCTCCTTATCCCATGACTATGGCGCTGTCTGTCCTGGTTACCATAGAGATGTGCAACGCCTTGAACAGGTAAGAACAAATCAAACACACACCCAGACTAGACTACAACTATGGGGCAACTGTGGTTCGGTGGGTAGAGCAGTTCAAATCACAGTGCCTGCAGTCCATGTGTCGAAGTGTCCTTGGGCAAGACACTGAATCTCAAAGTTGCCCCCGATGGTTAGAGTGGTGTGAATTGGCGCTGTAGATGGGTGCCTCAGTTGTTTACCGGAAACAAATTCCTTGTGTGTGTAACATGCTTGGCCAAATAAAGTGATTATCCTAATTATATCCTATCACATCTGAGTGATCACAGTGGTTACTCTGGTGTAATACGCTCTGTAGGGTTCTGAAGGCTGTGGATCTGGGATGAAGGTGTTCTCAAGTGTAAATTGACAGAATTAAGTGTCTAAACAGTAAAAATGATGTGTTTCTGGTTTGTCTTGCACTGTCCAGTCTGTCAGAGAACCAGTCCCTGCTGAAGATGCCTCCCTGGGTAAACCCCTGGCTGGTGGGAGCCATCTGTCTGTCCATGGCCCTGCACTTCCTCATTCTATATGTAGACCCACTGCCAGTAAGGATGTACAATATGCACACACTGTGTGTCCTAAAGGATCTTTGAAAGTTCCCACTGAATATGATTGTGATCTGTGAAATTGATGCTAGTAGATTCAGTAACACTAAGTTACACTTGTCCTGCGCTGATGCCACTGTCCCATTTAACACACATCAGAAATATCTACTGGCTGACATGTCTCCTAAAATAGCCATCATTCTCTCTGTCTGCGTCTTAAGGTGATATTCCAGATACGCCCCTTGTCATGGCCTCAGTGGGTGGTGGTGTTGAAGATGTCACTTCCTGTCATCCTGATGGACGAGGGCCTCAAGTTTCTAGCCCGCAACTATATCGAGCCAGGAAGCCAGATCCAGGTCAGAGGACATGCTTGATAATGCTTCTGTCAATACAAAGCAAGAGTTATT